TCGAAGCTGCTGCCAAAGATGATGGAGGCTGAGCCTTCCTGGGGTCTGTTGTGCCACCTCAAGTCCCTCTTCCTTCCTCGCCTAGAGCGAGCACTAGCTGAAGGCTACGGAGCACGTGGATGCCAAGGGCAGGGCTGACCTAGCAGCACCTTGTCCTGAGCTGCCTCGGAGGAGAGGTGACTCGCGGGGGTTGAACCACTGAGTCCCAGCAGAGTGCGGCCCTGCCATTGGAATCTCATGGGTGTCGCACTCAACACACCTGGCCTGCAGCTACCGGCTGTGGTCCGCGGGGCTTGCTGCTGTGTCTGGAGATGGGCAAGATGGCTCTGACTTCACCTCCATTGGCCTAAAAGCCCCAGGGTTGGCATTCCCAGGGGCCAGGAACTCTGAGGACGTGCCTCTGTGGTTTGCCCCAGTCTGTGATCACGCTGTCTGATGGACCCAAGTCACTGGTGCGCAAAGGTGCTTTATAAAAATCCTGGCTTTGAGTGCTAGGCGCACAGTGCAATATACAGCTCTGGTCTCCTACAAATGTACGCTTGAAACCTGTATGATCCTATTAACCAATGTGACCTCAATAAACTTAATACAAACTATAAAACATAGAATAAAATCCCAAAACACTCCTCTTAGAGTCTTGTCTCCTAGCTCTGTCCAGCTCAGCACTAAGGCCTACTAAAAAAGAAATCTTCCTGAGGTTTTGGTGTTTTCATGGGGGCCGTGTGTCAGAGAGAGTCAGAGTTGGGGGAAGGAGGGGAGGAGAGGAAAAGGGAAACTGAGAAACCCAGATGTACCGATGCAGATGTTCCTGTGTCAACAGTACAGGTTGCTGAAAGAGGAGGCTGGAGGACCTTCGCCTCTCCCGAGGCACCTTCTCATTAGTGAATTGGTGACAGCACTTGCTCTCTATGAAGCTGGGAGGGCTTCCAGTCCTTCCTCCTCCTCGTTTCCACGTGTTGACCTCCCCGGAGCATCCTTCATGCTTTGAGCACGGCCAGAGCTGCACAGGTGTGTCTCGGGAGCGGGGCCCGAACAATGATGCTGCATGTGGGCTCTGGCCTCGGCGCTACCTTATCAAAGCCTGGACGACTCTGGGCAATGAGGGCAGGGGAGCCTTGGCCTGCACATCCCCCTGTGCCCTTGACCGCTCCAGGGGTGAAGGTGGCCTTGTGCCAGGCAGAGATCGCGCCCGCTGTGGAGCCCAGAAATGCATGTGGGCACTTGTAGGTGTCTGGTGCATGCTCAGAGAACATGGCTTCATCCGTTCCTCCAGGAGAGAGGACGGCGTCCAGGAGAGTGAGGGAGGCCTAGACATGGGTGGGGAGTGAGGGTGGGGACATCGGTGGGCCTCATTTTCAGGCATGAGGGAGAGGAGCAGCAGAGCTTCTAAATGCCATCCCAGATGTGGCAGGGAGCTTTGGAAGGTTGAGTCCAAAGGTTGGAGGCTTCTGGAATCTCTGCGTGTCCCTGCATTTGTCAGGATGCTCCCTACAGATGTTAGTGGCAAAACCTGTGCAAGGAATGTGGCCCAGGTGCTTATCTTTGGGGGTGTAAGAAAGGGGGCAGCAGCGGAGAGTGAGGGTCTCATTTCAAAACTGCCCAAAAGAGCGGGAAGAAGAGACCTATCCTTATCTCAAGATAGAGTTTGCCGTGACAGCTTTAAGAAGAGTCTAAACATGCCAATTTTTTTTTTTTTTTTGAGCTTGTTAAAGGAGAGATGTCAGGAACCTGAGCCCTTACGAATCAAAAGTTGTCCCCTAGTGACCAGGTTATCCAAGCAAGTCCAGGCTGTTCTGGCCCTGCCACAAACCCTGCCCACTCCAGCCTGTTCCCCCGCCCCTTCAACTTTTCCTTCCTTCTGCCAAGGAGCCTCCAGAGAGAGCCCTTGCAGAACCTGGAAGATACTAGTAGCGGTGGCTCTGCCGCTAAGCTGTGTGTCATTAGGCACCTTGCTTTACCTTCTGGGCCTCAGTTTCCCCATCTCTAATGTAGTCCCTAAGGCTCATTAAGTCTTGCTTCCATGGAAGCGATTTGAGATGTTGTCTGTAGGCTATTTCAGCTGGGTTAGAGAGGCTACCCCCGCATTTCTAGAAGGGGCAGGGCAGAGATAGGTAACAGCCTTTCCTGCTGCTAATGATAATGCCTTTGTCCTTGGAGGGACTTTTAATGTGCAAAGACCTGTTCTCCCCTGTAAGTGCAAACATCCTTTTGTACCACGTAGGGCTGATAGGACCTATTTTTTACAGATGGGCAAAATGAGGCCCAGATGGGTTCATTCATTCCCCAGGGATCCGTGGTCCCTGCTGATCAAATTAATGTACATTAGTAGAAAAAACACCAGTCCAAAGCCAGATGATCTGACGGTGGGAAAGTCACTAAAGTCCTAAGCCTCAATTTCCTGTCTGTAAAGTGATAATAATAATGATTGCAGGGTCACACAAAATAACGGAGGGAAAATCTGGTTGCAGATGTGTGTAGCATACCTCGTTTTATTGTGCTTCACTCTTCATTGCTCTTCACAGATACCAGGTGCTTTACAAATTGAAGGTTTGCAGCAACCTTGCCTTGAGCAAGTCTGTTGGCGCCATTTTTCCAACAGCATTTGCTCACTTCGTGTCCCTGCATCACATTTTGATCATTCTATCATTATTTCCAACTTTTTCATCATTCTTATACTTGCTATGATGGCCTGTGATCAGTGATTTTTAATGTTATTATTGTAATTATTTTGAGGCACCATGAACCATGCCCATATAAAACAGTGAACTTAATAAATGTGTCTGGCTGTTCCCCCACTTCCCTTCATCTTCTTGGGCCTCCCTATTCCCTGAGACACAACAGTATTGAAATGAGGCCAGTGAATAACCCTACAATGGCCTCTAAATGTTCATGTAAAAGAAAGAGTTGCATGTCTGTCACTTTAAATCAAAAACTAGAAATGATTAACCTCAGTGGGGAAAGCATGTTTTAAGCCGAGATAGGCAGAAAGGTGGGCCTGTTGTGCCAGACAGTTACAGGTTGTGAATGCAAAGGTGTCCTTGAAGGAAAGTAAGACTGCTTCTCCAGAGGCCCCCGGAAGATAACACGGAGCAGCCTCATTGCTGACCTGCAGAGAGTTTTAGTGGTCTGGGTGGAAGATGGAACCAGCCACAACATTCCCAGAAACCAGAGCCTAATCCAGAGCAAGGCCCTAACTCTGTTCAATTCTGTGAAGGCTAAGAGGAGTGAAGAAGCTGCAGAAGAAAAGTAGGAAGCTAACAGGTTCATAAGGTTTAAGGAAAGAGGTTGTCTACCTAACATAAAAGTGCAAAGTGAAGCAGTGATTGCTGCCATAGAAGCTGCACCAAGTTACCCAGAAGATCTAACTGAGGTAACTAATGAAGGTGGCTATAGCAAATAACAGATTTTCAATGTAGACAGACAGCCTTCTATTGGAAGAAGAGTTTCTATGGATCTATGGATCTCCTCTCCGGCTGGATCTATGAGTTTCACAGCTGGAGAGGAGAGGTCAGTGACTGGCCTCAGAGCTTCAAAGGACAGGCTGACTTGGTTGTTAGGGGCTAATGCAGCGGGTGACTTTAAGTTGAAGCCAGTGCTCACTTACTATTCTGAAAATCCTAGGGCCCTTAAGAATTACACTGAATCTATTCTGCCTGTGATCTGTATATGAGATAACATAGCCTGGATGGCAGCACATCTGTTTACAACATGGTTTAATGAATATTTTAAGCCCACTGTTGAGGCCTATTGCTCAGACGAAACGACTCCTTTCAAAATATGTTGTTTATCGACAATGTACCTGGTCACGCAAGAGCTCTGATGGAGATGTACAAGGTTAATGTTGTTATGCCCATTAACACAACATTTATCCTGTAGTCCATGGGTCAAAGAATAATTTTGACTTCCAAGTCTTCTAAGGGATATATTTTGTAAGGCTACAGCTCCATAGATAGTGCTTTCTCTAATGGATCTGAGCCAAGTAAATTGAAAACCTTCTGGAAAGGATTCACCATTCTATATGCCATTAAGAACATTTGTGAGTCATGGGAAGAGGTAAAAATATCAACGTGAAAAGAGGTTTGGAAGAAGTTGATTCCAACACTTGAGGGTGACTTTGAGGGGTTCAAGGCTTCAGTAAACGAATTAACTGCAGCTATGGTGGAAATAGCATGAGAAATAGAATTAGAAGCAGAGTCTGAAGATGTGACTGAATTGCTGCAATCTCATGATAAAACTTCCTATGGATGAGCAAAGAAAGTGGTTTCTTATGATGAAATCTATTCCTGGTGAAGATGATGTGAAGATTGTTGAAATGGCGACAAAGAATTTAGAATATGACATAAAGTTAGTTGATTAAGCAGCAGCAGGGTTTGATAGGACTGACTCCAATTTTGAAAAAAGTTCCACTGTGGGTGAAATGCCATCAAACATCATCATATGCTACAGAGAAATTATTTGTGAAAAGAGGAGTCAATGCAACAAACTTCACTGCTGTCTTATTTTAAGAAATTGCCACAGCCACCCCAGCCTTTAGCAACCACCACCTTGATCAGTCAGTGGCCATCAACCTTGAGGCAAGACTTCACCAGCAAAAAGATTATGACCCATGGAAGGCTCATATGATGGCTAGCATTTTTAGCAATAAAGTATTTTTAATTAAGGTATATACATTTTTTTTTAGCTGTAATGCTATTGCACACTTAATAGACATAACTTTTATATGCACTGGGGAACCAAAAAATTTGCTTGACTTGTTTTATTGCAATATTCACTTTATTGCAGTGATCTGGAACTGAACCTGCACCATCTCCCATGTATGCCTGGCAGGCACTGGTTAATGCTCACCATATGCAATGGCCTGGAGAGCCAGGCATCATCCTCACGGCCTTCTCCCACCCTCCACTTCTCTCCTGCATGTTTTTCCCTCTAGGAGCTAAACGCAGCCCTTCAAGGTTTTTCTCTGGGAAGCCCCTAACCCCCCTGTGGTTTTTCTCCTGCAGACTGCAAATTCACCTGCCACCCGGAGTGCCGCAGTCTGATCCAGCTGGACTGCAGTCGGCAGGAAGGCCCATCCCGGGACAGACCTTCTCCAGAAAGCACCCTCGCTCCCACCTTTGGCCAGGTAGGCAGCAAAGCTTGAGGACCAGGGTGCAAACAGCCTTTGCAGGCACCTTGGGCTGCACTGTCTCTCCAGGACTCTGGTGAGCAGGGGGTGGCATGAGAATTCTACATGTGCCAGATGTTAGGGTCCCCTTCTAGTAGATGGGGTTCACAGATGCACATTTTGATTCTGCATCCAGTTGTGAAGTGTGTAGGTGGGCTACTTTTTCTGCCCGCCACACCGCCAGAGTGATTCTCTGATACCAGCAGGGTGTCTTACAATTCAATTTCACTCTCTGCTCCTCCACCTCTTCAGATGCCTTGTGACCAACCAGCTGTAGATTGCAAGTTACCACAACTCCCTCCTTGGGTTTGATTAATTTTCTGGAGGAGCTCACAGAACACAGTGAAACATGTTACATACCAGATTATTATGAAAAGGTATGACTCAGGAACCACCAGGTGGAAGCGACGCATAGGGCAAGGTGTGTGGAAAGGGGCACAGAGCTCCCGTGCCCTCTCCGCGTGTGTTGCTCTCCCTCCACGTGTTTACCAACCCGGAAGCTCTCTGATTCCTGTCTTTTTGGGTTTTTATAGAGACTTCATTATATAGTCTTCATTGGTGGAATCATTGGCCATTAGTGATTGGTTCAACCTCCAACCCCCTCCCTTCCCTGGAGGTCAGGGGGGTGGGGCTGAAGTTCCAACACTCTAACACTTGGTAGGTTCTGCTGGCAACTAGCCCCCATCTTTAGGTGGGATCCAAAAGTCACCTTATTAACATAACAAGAAATACCTTGGTTGCTCTCATCACTCAGGAAATTCCAACGGTTTTAGGAGCTCTGTGCCTGAAATGGGGACAAAGACCAAGTGTATATTTCTTATTATGAATCACAACAGCACACACTCCTTTGCAAGAGACTGAGGGGATGGAATAGGACAGTGACACAGAGAGGTCTGTAGTCCCCGGTACAGAGCCTGCTTTGGCCTTGGGCTTTAAGCCAGTGGTGTGGGTGTGGGTGGGGCAGCAGGGTCTCAGAGAAGGCTCCTGAAGATCCCTTAAGGCCTCATAGCCCTGGAGCAGTGGGAATGTCAGGGCTGCCAACCAGGCCAGATGAACTTTAGAGGGGCTAGGCAAATATTTCCTCCCTGTGTTAAAGGGCCAGGAAATGTGATGCCTAAAGCACATCTTGCTTCTGGACTTTGCCAAGGCACTTGAATTAGGATGTCTGTACCTTGATATCTAGGATTTAGAAGGGCACCAGGAGAGCTTTTTTTTTTTTTTTTTTTTGACTCTTGCATTGAACAAGAATTTATTGAGTATCACTGTGCCAAGTACTGGTGAAAGTGGGGTTAATAAATGATACATCACATTTTATATCCTCAAAGAGCTTACATTCTGGCAGGGGAGGCAGAATACAACCAAATAGTATATACTGTGATACAATTTGCCATAAAAATATGAATCAAGTGTTTTGAGCCTAAAATACAATTGTTTCTGTTGGGAAAAATCGTGGAGGACTTCCCAAAGGAGGTGACATTTGATCTGAGTCTTAATGTATGAATCAAAGTTTGACTGTCAAGGAAGTAAGGAGTGTTCCAGGATGCCATCCATTTATTCATTTAACAAATATGCTTTGAATGTTGACCATGTGCAGGCCCAGGAATGCCTGGAACTTAGTGATGAAGTAAACAGATATGACTCCTGCCCTCCAGTGCTTGCAGTAGAGTAGGGAAGCAGGACTTTAAACAAAGAAACCCCATGTTTATGAAGGAAACGTATTGTGAGAGACAATACAGACATTGGATAACTGGTTATTTCCTGAAGAGAATCTGAGGGAACCTGGGGAAGCAGGGGTTTAGCCCCAAGACCCCAGACTAGCCATCCACATGTTTTTGCTGACCATGATGCGCACGATCAATCTTCCGATCCGCCCATGGGTGTTACCAGCCTCTCAGCTGTTCCCCTGTGCCTTGTTCTCCCACTGGGAAGACGTTACTAGAAAGCACATATCATGTTTGTTTTTATAAAAATGATATGGAATCACCCCTGGCCAGTTGTCTCAGTGGGTTGGAGCGTCGTCCCATACACCAAAAAGGTTGCAGGGTTGATTCCCAGTGAGGGCCCACACCTAGGCTTCGGGCTTGATTCCCAGTCGGGGCATGCGTGGGAGGCAACCGATCAATGTTTCTCTCTCACATCTCTCTCTCCTTCTCTGAAGTCAATGACCATATCCTCGACTGAGGATTTAATAAATGAGATTGAATCAGTTCTAAAATGTATATTTTAAAATTCTATATATCCTCCACACACTTTGGAATAGTAACTGCGTATGGTGTGGCCTGAATGTAACCCAGCCTCTCCCCAGGGCCTTGTCTCTAGCCAGAACCTGTCTAACCAGGTTCCAGGTTGTGGGGGAGGGCGGGGGAGGCAGGAAGAGGCGAGGGCACAAGTTAGGCTCCCGAAGCCCTGGTGAACAATGCAGATTTTTGCTGAAGGCATTCCTCAGCACACCATATAGCACGCCATATTGCAACATTTCCTAAAAATCTTATTTCAATGGCTCTCTGTTTTCCCAATTTTCTGTCTCATTTGGGAGCTTCCAAGTCTCTCTTCTTTCAGTTCCCCTCTACTTTGCCCATCTCCCAGCCTGGAGCCTGCTCCCCCCATTACTTCTGGGCCTCATCTATTCCTTCTTCTAAAGTTGCAGGTCTTGAAAGGGGCGATTTTGCCCCCTTCCCCTGGGGGACATTTGGTGGTTTCTGGAGATGTTTTTGATTGTCACAGCTGGAGGGTGCTCCTGGCATCTAACAGGTAGAGGCCAGAGGTGCTGCTGAACATCTTCCAATGTGTAAGACAGTCCCATAGCAAAGAATTATTTGGCCAAAATGTTAATAGTACCAAGAAACTTTGCAAACTACTTTTGACAAAGTTGAATCAGTCACAACACCTTCTCCATACACGGCACAAATCTTTTATGTGTGTGTGTGTGTGTTTCAGTTGCGTTTTTACCTTCTTGAAATAATAAAGCATAATAAGCTGAAAATGTTGCATATTTTCTTCCATCTTCAATATTAAAATGGCCGCACAAAAGTTCACCAATTTAGGTAAGTTTTTTTATAGTTTAATGTATTTTAATAGCAAACTTACAGGGACAGCACAGAAGACAGACAACATTAAAAACATACTTGCATGTAGGACAACTTGTTAGAAAGGTATAGTAGTAAATAGATGGAATCTACTGTATGATGAAAATGCTACAAACACCATTTAGTTGCCATCAATAAGAAATTTACTTGTTTTTTAAAAAAAATCCAAATGCTGGCATTGTCCAGAAAAATTTAACAAGTTTATTTATATTGTTATAAAGTTGAACTGCTGAAACTTGTTCACTGAAAAATCTTGACTCACGTCAATGTTTTATATCCCCATATGTATATTAAAAAAAACACACACAAATGAAAATGGAAAAACTGCCAATACCTGATCGCTGTCCCCTATTTTCTGCTTGCAGTCATATACTTAGGTACCTTTTGGACCCATGGGAGAAAAAAATATCTAATGTTCAGAACTACCAATAGCAGGAAAAAGAGAATTTTTTTTAAAAGAATGAAATATTTTGCATTATAGGGGATCCTAGTAGCTCTGTCCTTCTGGCCTTTGGTGTATTCTTAAGCATGTTCTCCATGTATGCGGCATGCTAGCTGCATGTATTTTGGCATAATTGTTACACACTTGTCATGGACAGCACACAGATTGGTGTCTTCAAAAAGGCTAACCAAACAGGCCTCGCTTGCCTCCTGCAAAGTACCAGTAGCTGCGCTGTGGAAGGACAGATCTGTTTTGAAGTCCTGAGCAATTTCTTGCTCCAGGCGCTGGAAGGGAAGTTTGCAAATCAGAAGTTCAGTGGACTTCTGATAACGTCTAATTTCAGGAAGTGCCACAGTACCAGGCCTGTAATGATGAAGTTTCTTCACCACCCCCGCCCCCCGGTAGAGGGCGCACTCTTGTGAGCGGCTTTGGTAGCCAGCGGCTTCCTTGGTGCTTTACCACCGGTCGACTTGCAGGCAGTCTGCTTTGTACGAGCCATGCTATAGAGACCTCATTACTTTACTTACCACCCCCCCCTTCTACTTTGCCTGGAGCTCCTAGAGCTGGAGGAGGCACAGGCATTAGAGAGAGACAGCCTGATAAGTTTTTTTTTAATGCACGCTGATATGACAGCTGTCACAATGCAATCTAACAAAATTGTTTCGAAGGAAGTTAAAGACAACTAAGCACTACTATAGCCATCGTTCGGAAAAAACTGAACGAACTTTAGAAGGAGTCACATAGAAACACACAAAAGGAGCCAGGAGTCCCCTGCGGGTGTGGAACAGCCCCAGCCAGCAAACAGCCTGGAGTGGGGCTTGCTCCGCCAGCTGGGAGGGCTGCTCTGTTTGCCTTGGACGAGCCTGACTGCGTGCTTCAGCACAAGCAGGGCAGGACCTGGCCTTCTATCAATAAAACCTGGGCCCTTCTCCAGGCCCACTTGCATTTTCTAAAAAGCTTGTTTGTGCTGATTTCCGCCTTAGCTTGATTTTCTGTTAAATACCAGGATGGACTTTCTTTCACCGTGACATCATCACCTGGGCTAGCTAACCTAATGTGCGAGTGCCATTTTGCTGAGGGGTTTATTGTGGCTGGGGCCTTGGTCTGAGCTCAGCTAGTTTGGGGACATATGGCTGTTAGGTTTCATCTTGGTGTCATTTCTCCTTTCTGCTCTTTAAGGGGGAAAAAAATCATTGATTTTCCTCCATCCAGAGAGAACTATTGTTAAACATTTTTTATTTTTTTTCTTCCTGTATATTCACACATTTTCCCAAACATTGTTGAGATCATCCTGTAGATAAATACCAACCTTTGAAAAGCAGTATCCCAAGGCCTGTCTTCCCTCTGCCATGCCTGAAGGAGGCGGAGGAGGGAGAAGGGGCAGGCGTGCGGGGCGGGGTGGGCTCAGAGCCCCATGTGGGCTTCTGCTT